GCCAGTAATTGTGGTGTATTTGTGTTTTATTATGTACGATCGTCATATATAATTACATGTCAATCAATGCAAATCTAACACTGATTGCCGATTGCTGATTGCTGATTGCTGATTGCTGATTGCTGATTGCTGAAATCGCTCCAAACATTAGCAAGGACTACTACAAAAAACACTGTAAGCTACGGTTGATATTTTTTCAATCATGCTACGTTAAAAATCGACAATTGCAAAATCTCCATACATTCTCTTATACTATTGTTAAGCTTGGGCTAAATGTGATGTAATTCAAGACATCAGAATTAGAAATATAAACTTACTCGTAAAGTGAACGTTTTCTAGGGATTAACAAAACCAAGGGCACTAGGACACCGAATGTGGTTGGATTTTTATAGTTTTTTTCCTTTCGATGATTTATTAACGTTATACTTGTTTACTTATCTTGTGTCCGTGTTCCTTCGCTGTTATGACGCAGCCGTTTTCTTCCAAAGGGCAAACGGTTTGAATAGCCCATGAGCGTTACTTCTTTAACGGCCTTTTCGTACTTGACTCTGTTTGTACCAACAGCATCGCGATCGCGCGATGCTAAGGTACAGATGCGAAGGTACAGATCTGATAGGACTCATTCTCGCATGGAGTGGCGTTGCGMCTAGCAAAGTCAGAAGGAAGGATGGCTGAGCCAGCAACATGTCGAACTGAAGCTTAGTAACGGCTTACGACTGAGAGGAATGTAGACACACGAGGGCTAGCTGAGAATTCACCTCTACAAAGCTTTTCAAAGGCTTGCACACAGGGCTTTCTATCAGTGAGTATGCAGGTATTCTTGCTCGACTGAATGATAAATGGGCTGTGTGTGCTCCACCTTGTTATTTGGTTGGAAGGTCAGGGTAGCCTGGCAGGAGTGTTCATTGCGTTTGAGGGTGAGTGGTTCCGATGTTAGGTTTGGAATGCGGACTCTTCGTGCGACACTGAACACAATATATGGTTGCGGCCACATCTCTGTAGAGACTAACTGCTTGACAACCTGGGCATCAGTTCGGGGCTCGATTGCGTAGTCACAATTAAGATGGTGCATCTGATGGCAGTTCTAGTTCTAAGAATTCTCCAGGCCAGACAGTTTGTGTTGACGGTGGTGCTCTCAACAGAAATACATAACGTGCAGCCAGGTTTTCGCTTTTCTTTGGCAACGMACCATAGTGGTAGCATGTACCATCTCCGAGGATCACTTCTCTTTTAKCAGGGCGGAYAGCGATGTCGTTAGCTTCAACATCTAGGTCTTCTACGACGAGGCCTTCAAACTGGAAACTGTGGTTGTTTCTGGTGAAAGTAGCTCGTGTCTCTCCGACAMCTGGTAGACGGCCCATCTGCTTGATGGACGGACTGTGAGCTGGGCACGATTTTAGCTGCTAGACGTTGAGCGGTGGATCGGCGGATCATGTTACCGGTTGCTCCACTGTCGATAATGATGCGAGTCGTATGGTGACCATGGAAGGCATCTAAATATGGGGACTGTCTGGTCTGGACCCTAAAGGGTAGGGCACGGGCGTTGACTTGATCAGTGTCTGCCTGATGTGTGAAGGGAGCGGACTCACTTTCGAGGTCGTCGTTCTGTTCTTCAYCTCGGATGTCCACGATCTGTCGAACTTTGACCATGTACTGTTTATCACTTTCAGGAAGAAACTCACACTGACTTAGGAAGTGATGGAATTCGGGGCGTCCAGCCTGCTTGCACAGAGGACAGGTTTTACCCTGTCGGGGTGTCTTGTTCGTAGGCCTGCTCTAGGGGGGAGTTGCGACGAAGTTCTGTTGTTCCTGCTGAACGTAGGACCTTGGCGTCATCTGCCATATGGATTTCTTCAAGTAGTGAGTCAAGAGCTTGTGGTATTTCGGGCTTGATGGAGGCAAGATTTCGGGATCGTAGCTCTGTGCCGTAGCGCTGCTTGACTAGTTTGGGGAGCTGGGGATGAACCAGCTTCAACCACTTCAGGACAATAAGGTTTTCAAGCGTAGGAGATAGTTCTTCGTCTTCAATCATCGCCTCCCCATAGTGGGTTAGACCATTTGTCCGAAGCAKAAARTCTTCAACAAAGGCCATTAATCACTGGTAAAGGTCTTCTGGGCGTTCACTGGGGTCGAGATGTACGTCGGCGAAGTCATTAAAGTGTGCAACGGTTACTTGGAAACCAAAATACTGTCTGATTGTTTGCCAAATGAATGCTAGAGACGTGGAGCTTTTGACTAACGAACTCCGGGAGATAATTGGGCAATAATTGGCGATTGACCGAGCATTAGCTGGTTGGTTTTCTGTTGGGCAGTAARGCGTTTGGCTTGGGGAACAGATGATCCATCATCTTGAATAYCACGTAGAGGTTGTGTTTTCGATTTCCTCTACCATGTAACTCCTTCCGCGAGGAAGGGAGTTGTCCAAAGACAACGTGTAAATCAGGTTCTGCTTCCAGTTTTCGAAGCTGTTTATGTTTTGACACTTMTCTCGAGGCTTGGGTTAGTCCAACGACTGCCACCACGCCAGTTGTGAATAATAAGAAAGAGCCAAGACACAGGCAAAAGGTTTAATAGCTCCTTAAACTTAGTAAACAACCGAGATAAACAACGAAAATCGAAGAGAACAAAATGGCCGACCAAGGTCGGTCACATGACTAACTATAAGTACCGCTGACCGGTACTGGCGCCGCAAATGATGATATGCAGTTGTCGGGACTCTTTGTAGAACGACGCATACAACAATAGAAGTCATGGTCAAAAGAATTAGCCTTAAGTTTCATGGACACTAAGGTTTGGTATTTTGTGAAGTACAATTTACCAGGCATGTTTGAAAGTCAAATGCACATATTTTTTACAATARCATGAGTACGTTTTGACTAATTTGYATACGGACTCAGAGCATGCGCAGACGTTTTTCACGAGTGTTACTAAAACGAGTAGAGGAGTAATGAGTAACGAGTAATAGAGTAATGGAAAAACGAGWAATAGCCAAATTTTGCCACATAGAAATCTACAAAACCGAGTAATGAATAAATTAAAAAATCAATAAATGATCAATTTTCCCTGTGAGTAAAATCCATATAAACAAATCATCAATGTCACATTTTGTTCGCTTGTTAATTTCACCATGATCGCATTGGTTGGAAATGTCTGGGAAAAAGGCTGCACGTGTTCTTGTCTGCGTCGTCTTGTTGTGCGCCAAAATGGAGGAAGGTTAGTGTCCTGTATTCCAGGAGTGAACACACGTATAGCTTCATTTATCATGAATCCTTTATTTATGGCTATTATATTTTCTTAGAAATAATCGGTCATAAGCGATGATGAAGTGGAAGTGGAGGATAATCGTAAGTTAAAGCTTTTTGGCACTCAATTTATCGTCGGCCCCTTAATCGTCCGCCTTGTAAGTTCAAAGAGTTCCTATGTAAGATCCCAAAAATTCATAAATGCATACATATTTTTATGCACAAGTGTGGCAAGTATATATTGTTGCATATTTTTGACTTTATGTGTTTAGTGAGCGAAAAAGGGATGTATTGTCGCAACTCCGGTTCAAGTTTCACGACTTTTTTTCCTAAGAACTTGCTCGCCCTTGTGGCGAAATCCATGTACAAAAAGACGGGTTTTATACTAGTACTTCCTGCCTTCTGTTACAAATAAAGCCAGAAACTCCCAATGTGTAACAGTCTCTTTCTCTCGTAATCAGTAACTTTTTCCACAATAAATAGCCGCTATTTGAAAAATTTCTATGCGGCAAAATCTGGCTATTACTCGTTTTTCCATTACTCTATTACTCGATACTCATTACTCCGTTGCTCGTTTTAGTAACAACACCCCGTTTTTCACTCGTGTCTGGTGGAACAACTTCATGTATGCAAAGCGCTATTAATAAATTACCAAAGAATACTTCCACGAGCCTATACGAGCCGAGACTATACGAGCCGAGCTTATACGAGCCGAGCCGAGCCTATACGAGCCGAGCCGAGCCGAGCCTATACGAGCCGAGCTTATACGAGCCTATACGAGCCGAGCCTATACGAGCTTATACGATAATAGTATTTTTAACAGCCTTGTACGGAATTATAAATAGCTTCAGTTTCAAAATCCTCGCTCATTCTCATCTAGACTCGAAATGGGGCGGTTGTGTCCTATTTGCGGCAAGTCAGTGCAGCACGTATGGTCTCATTTAAGTCGTGTTCACAAAATCATTGGTCAGCAGCRAACTCTACTACTGCATGGAAAAAATAGTCAGGAAAATGTAAGCCAAGAGTTACCAGTCACCATCCCACTTATGTGGAATGCCGAAACAGATCATTGTGCTAGATTTCAACTGCTGCATCCATTCACTGCTCTGGTAGCTGGAATGACTGGATCTGGAAAAACAGTTTGGGTTCAGAGTCTGCTTGAACATGCAACAAAAGTCAACAGTCCACAACCCCAGCGTATTGTATGGAGTTACGTATGTAGTGTCGGGATCCCTGTGTGTATAACGAAGTATTATGGTCTAGATAGAGACACGTGGCGTGACCGAGTTGTGAGAGAAAAGTCAGATAAGCTATGAACAAGAAGCTTTATTAAAAGCCTAGTTTGTTATACCGTGTTGGGTATTTAGAACTTTACAACGCACAATGGCAACCAGCTTACGATCACATGTTAGCAACGATTCCCGGGATCGAGTTCGTCAAAGGCATACCCCACGATATTGACGAAGATGGTTATTTCGACCCCAAAATCAATAATGTTATTGTGGTTGACGATCAAATGACAGAGACGTCTAACGACAAACGAATTATGAATTTATTTACTAAAAGGTGTCATCATCGCAACCTCAGTGTCATTTTTCTCATGCAGAATCTCTACTTTCAAGGAAAAATCATGCGCACTCTGAGTTTGAATGCGGCATACCTTGTTCTTTTTAAAAACCCAAGAGACAAACTACAAATGATGACATTGGGAAAACAAATGTACCCAGGAAAAACAGAACAGTTTGTGCAAAAGTAAGAAGCCGCTGTACAACGACCTTATGGATATCTTTTCGTGGATCTCAAACCCAAAACACCAGACGAATGCAGGCTTCGGAAAAATGTTCTTCCCAATGATCTGCCTGCTTTGCAGACGAAGCTGTCAAAAACAGCAATATCACAACTTGGTGGTGGACAGTCAGATGTCACACAATCTATTGATAACTATTTCGAACGTCAAAGCTATCTACAATCGCCTATTTTAAAAACAATGCAGAATATAGAGGAGCAAATGAATAGCATTCTCAGGGATTCCAATGCCCCTGCGTAACTTAAAATGAAAGAATATTCGGAGCTATACAATCGATACCTTAATCTACAACAGCAGCTTAAAAGCAGTTCGCCCTACAGCTCAATGAAGGAAATGGTGCAATCACCAGAAGCACCACCTCGAGCTAGTCCCAGTCCTGCTATCAGTTTGGCAACTCCAGAAAATGTTGCTTCAACGAGTTCAGTGGCTAGCGATAGTGGTTATGTAACGCCAATGCCCAAGAAGTCTTCCTTTCTAGAGCGACTAACGTCAAAAATTAGAACTCCTACTCTTGAACTCAGTAGAGCGGGATCTTCCACCCCATTAAGAACCCCAACTAGTCTTGATCAGCCTTCCCCTAATACCCCAGTCAGCACCCCCCTAAAAGCTCAAGCTCTACCAGCCCCACTTGATTTTCTACCCACTCCTCCTTCAAGTAAAGAAAAACCCTTAAAATGGATTAGCTATCAAGATTCAGACACTTATCGTGCCAAAATCTCAAAACCTCCACGACGTTCAGAACGATTGAGAGCGATCGCAAAGTCAATACCCAAATGGGAAAAATACTAAGCTGTAAACTGTAAACCAATTAATAATAATGCAAATCAAGAGAGTTTGTTACTTCGGATGTCTGACTTGTATTTATTAATTAAATGAATAATACACGTTTCTAAGAGACAATGACAAGTAAAGTCTTAAAGCTCGAAAAGTGCCTTCATTCTTTGAGATATACTTCATCTCTAGTTTCGTCAAGTAAATGGCTAATACAAGTAAATGGCTAGGTATTCGGAGTATATGAGATGCACTGTAGTCCAAGGAAGCTCGTAAAGTTTATCAATATACCCTCTCCAGGAAGAGTCAAGAGAAATGCACAATGGTCCACACGCATCGGTGACCTTATACCACATTTCTTTTGAATCCGGAAGATAATAGTTTTCATCGTAAAACAACCTCCATAGTTCTTCTGCTGTCAAATCCAAATCATCGTATTGCCTTTCATGGTACTTATCACAGCAACTGCATTCTATTCTTCCAATCTCCATCTCGATATATCTTGCACATAGGTCCGCATACATCAGACGAAACATATTGGTTACGAAGAAATACCGTTGGTTTCTTTCAAGCATAACGATATCGTGCKCTGCTTTACTTGCAATCGATCTCAGTTTTTAAGTGTTTGAATGAAATAAGAATTTTGAAAATATCTGCGCTCTACAAATTGAACTCGCAGACAAAGACTTATTTCGCTAACATGTAAATGAATAACGCCAACCAGTCAAATAAATTAAAACTCAACTGATTCACGGATTTATAGTATGTACGGACGATGATAAAAATGTAAGAAATAGAAAGATTCTAAAAATAGCCATGATGCTAGATATTGCAACCTGATGGTGCAATCCAGACATTCAAAAATACGGATGTGACATTAATATTTAATGCATTTACTCTCTTTAAAATCAAATACACTAAAACCTCTTGTTATGACTCAAAAACCTGAACTGAGTGCAAGGCGAATGATTCAATGGTCTTCTGACGCAAACTCGGATGGCCTCCTATGATTGTAGAAAAACTTTTTAATAGATAAAACGATTGACAGCGATCGCAAAGTCATTACGAAGTGAGTAAATGTGTAGTTCGGAGTTTAGCTGTAGTGACTGATTTATGAAAATCAATCAAAACACCATGTTTGTTGAGTCTTCTATTGTTTACAAAGATTAAGATTGAACTGCTTTTGTTAGTTTCGTTATGTTTATAAAAGCACCAAGAACAAGATCTATTCCTACTTGGCTTATAATTAAAAAAGGACAAACGTGAATGCCGATAGATTTATTTTACCAATGTTCAGCACAGGTCTATGTTATTAAGAGGCTGTGTCCCTAAGAATCACCAGACCAAATTGCATGGGGTCTCAGATTTCTTTCAAACTTTATGTACAGAAAGCCTTT